AATTATACATAAGATGTTTACAAAATTACCAAAACAAAGAAAAAAACATAAAAAAACATAAAAAAAATAGATATTGTTCGTAATTACAATGTATTACTCCCAGTTGGAGTATCAGAAATGTCTAAATTTTCAAAATCATCAACCCAATCATCTTGAACTTGTTGGCATCTTCTGCGAGCGTCCTCCCAATCCTCGACGCACATTACTGCCTCCAGAATATCGTCACTCAAGCGTGCATGTCGTTCATCAAGTACTCTACCAATGCAACTAAATACTTGTTCACTTGCAACTGTGGACACTAGTATGGTTAGTATATCACGTGCCATTCTAGAGAGCACAGGAAAAGTTCTTGACTGTGATCTCCAAAATGACAAAATATCAAATTTATTGAAATCATGACCACCACCTTGCTCATTGAAAATGAATGCTGCAAAATTTGTTTTTAGATAGTTTTCCAATTCACTACGTACCGAAGATGTGGATGACGCACCACTGACCAAATCCGGTGTAGCTAATCATACTTTCCCATAAATTGGGTAGCCCAACCTAAAGGCTGACTAAATGGATTCATTTCTACATAATTTTATTTCTGGAGCCATAAACTGATGGTGGTTTATTTTAAACGACATCGTTTAGTAATTGTTGTTGGTAAATTGGGCAGCTTAACCAAAAAGGTTTGATTCATTTCTACATAATTTTTGTTTCTGGAGCCATAAACTGATGGTGGTTTATTTTAAACGACATCATTTAGTAATTGGTGTTGGTAAATTGGGCAGCTTAACCAAAAAGGCTGGATTCATTTCTACATAATTTTGTTTCTGGAGCCATAAACCGATGGTGGTTTATTTTAAACAACGTCATTTAGTAATTGCTGTTGGTAAATTGGGCAGCTTAACCAAAAATGCTGGATTCATTTCTACATAATTTTGTTTCTGGAGCCATAAACCGATGGTGGTTTATTTTAAACGACGTCGTTTAGTAATTGTTGTTGGTAAATTGGGCAGCTTAACCAAAAAGGCTGGATTCATTTCTACATTTTGTTTCTGGAGCCATAAACTGATGGTGGTTTATTTTAAACGACGTCGTTAGTAATTGTTGTTGGTGAATTGGGCAACTTAGCCAAAAAGGCTAGATTCATTTCTACATAATTTTGTTTCTGGAGCCATAAACCGACGGTGGTTTATTTTAAACAACGTCGTTTAATAATTGCTGTTGGTAAATTTGGTAGCTTAACCAAAAAGGCTGGAATCATTTCTCCATAATTTTGTTTTTGGAGCCATAAACCGATGGTGGTTTATTTTTTAGGCCATTTTTAGTGGTAAGATATATATTACTTGAACATGTATACACGTAAAGGATCCGTTTGGTTCACGCGTTTAAGTTCGTGATTTTAATTCATATTCAAATTTTTTATGACAGAACTATTGATAGAGTTTTTTTATTCATTCTTTATGAGAGAAAAAATACTGTAGCAGAATCAGAATCACGCCACTTAGATATTTCTTTTTTTTACTTTTCTCTTTCATTTACTAAATTATTATTTTTTTTTTACAAATGCTACTATACTTAGATATTTCTTTTTGATGGTGCTCTAAAACTTATTTATTCTTTCATTTTTAATTCTTTTCTGAACCTACTTTTTATTTTATTCCTATTTTTTTCTAGATTCATTTCTACATAATTTTGTTTCTGGAGCCAGAAGCCGACAGTGGTTTATTTTAAACGACGTCGTTTAGTAATTGCTGTTGGTAAATTGGGTAGCTTAACCAAAAAGGCTAGATTCATTTTTACCTAATTTTGTTTCTGGAGCCATAAACTGACGGTGGTTTATTTTAAACGACGTCGTTTAATAATTGCTGTTGGCAAATTGGGCAGCTTAACCAAAAAGGCTGGAATCATCTCTACATAATTTTCTGCGTAACCCATTGATGGAGAACAGGGGACTTTTTAACTATTTTTTTCATTTTCCAGATAATTTGAGTCTACAATCGAGGTATAATTAAGTTCTTTTTTACAAATGTTGTACAATTTAAAGTGTTTGGAAGATTACCTCGGGAGTATCTTCGTTGATCTTCACACGGGTCAACGAAGTGGCGGCGGAGAAGATGAACTGGTGGTGTTTGAGGGGAGAGAAAATGTTAGTGGGTTTGGTTGTGGGAGTGGTCATTAGGCGGCGGGTCTCCTCGTCGGCCTGTCAGAAGTCACCTCCGGCAACATCCCTGCGGAGGCGTTCGACGACGGTGACGGAGACAGAGGATGAAGTGGTGGTGTTTGAGGAGAGAGGAAATGTCAGGGTGGAGAAGGAGATAGAAGTGGGTTTGCTTGTGGGAGTTGTAGGGACGCGGCCTCGTCCGCCTGTCGGAACTCGTCGGCGCCGATCTGGCTGCGGAGGAGGTCAACGGAGCTTGAGGGAGGTCGAGAGAAAATAAGGTTTGGGAGTGCTCGCTCGTGCATTTGAGAAAGGGAGAGGTTTTTGAGAAACAAATCTACACCGTTTAATTCCAATCCAACGGCCACAATTACCTGAGCGGATCAGTCAGACATTTTATAAGTACCGGACTAAAGACCATTCCTATATATATATATATATATATCTCACAGAATCAGTGTCACAATCTGCAGATCAAAAACTCCAAGGAGTGTACTGCCACGTCCTCACTCTTTTTTGTTTTTGTTTATTTTTACTCATCAATCATGAACATCAATTGTGGTTTCATTGAAACTCTACAAACGTGCAGAAGCCAAGTTCAATGATCCTTCTACGTGTCATGACTTGTGAGATTATTTATGCTTATTAGTCACTTTTCGAGAGCACTTTTGTCACTTGATTGAAACCTTAAAATAACACCAACAATAATTAAAAAGAAAAAAAGGGCAACATAGAAAACAAAAATAAAAAAAATAACATGAACTTCTCTCTTTTCTCTTTTGTTTTTATTTTTTATTTTTGTTCTTTTTCCTACCCCATTTCTTGGGAAACGCATTGTTTCATGTGACAAGTTTAATGAAAGCTACATTGTATGAGGTTTCATGTGCTAATGTTTCTCCGATTACTTATAGCCGACCACTCTCTAAGAATTTGTTTTAATATTTGGAGTTAATGAGCCAAAGATTATAATACTAATGTTGGATAAATGTTGTCAATTGTCAAAGTTGGTGGTCTATTTTTTTTTTCTTTTATACTCTATAGGTATGAATTAAACCTAAAGCTTTAGATTAAAATACTAACCCAAAGTGCTAATAGAACTTTTCAAGCTTTCTTACCTTTTTTGTTTCTTTTCAAGCCCCACTTAGCTAGGCAGAGAACAAATTAAATTTAATTTAGATGGAAGTCTTGATTGGTGTTAGAATGTGATTCATGTGAGCTAATGATAATAAGTTTTCAACTAATGTGTGCAATAAATCAACAAAACTTTTATTGTTTTTTGTCCTCGGCCATAATCAAGCATTTTACCTTGATTTAATCCAGGCATAAAGAGACTATCATTAAATAAAAATTAATTAGTGTAACAAATAATTGATAAACAAATCTTAGTGCGTGGAAGCAAAGATTTCATATTCTCCTGGTTGATAATCCAAGAAGAACCGCATTCTTGGCCTGTGGTCAACTTCAAAAGTCCACCTTTGTCCAATACAAATCTGACAATCCAATCTTTAAAAGCCGAAAATTATTGGCCAAATTTAGTTATTAGAACAGACAGAATGTTTTCTTTACTTGTTCCGTTTGAAAGTAACTTTATTTTAGGCGTGGAATTCAAGTTTGTGGCATGCCTTTTTTTTTTTTTTTTTTTTTTCCTTCAAAATTGAGAGTGTGAGGCTCAAAATAATTATATTTTACATATAGAGAAAAACGATGAACATTTGTGGCTAAAATGTAAAAGAAAATGTACGCTCATAGCATTGAGTTTAACTATCATAACCACTTAAAGATTTCTTTTTCTTCTACTTCTTTTGGTTCCATAAATTTTCTCATGTTATGCGGTTTTCAAATTCCAAAACCAACTTCATATTTTGCAAGATAATTTATGTGACAGCTAGTTCAAACGAGTGTTATTATTAAGAGAAATTGCGTATATACCAGGCAAGACAATAGTATTTATATATGTAATATAAAACTGAGTTTCCCTTTTTTTGCTTTACTTTCCATTACTTTGTCACATGAGCATGCATGATGGATGTGTATCAAACCCAAAACCTGGCACGCCATGATTGATCAACAGCCAAAAAAAATTAATAATAAGTATAACATCTCAATGCTCCAATAATAAATCTCTTAAAAGAAAAAAAAAAGTAAAAAAAATTGCGCTTTAGTCCCCTCAATTGTAGTCTTTTGGTGCTCGATCGTCCCCTATACTTTCATTCTTTTGCAATATTTATCATTTAATTTTTAATGATTATCACATAAGCAGCCATTGTGAATTTCTTATTAAGGGCAAGGATCAAATTTTTTAAAAAACATTTTAATTTCTTTTCCATTTTATTGTTAAATGAGGAACAAAAAACCATTCAAAATTCACCAAAATATTTTTAATGTATTTTTTCCATTTTACTATAATAATTAGACCACAGAATAACCATGTGTGTATCATAAGTGATTAAAAATTTCTTTCGAAAAACTCAAAAGAAGTTAGCAAATGGTTCTATTCTAAAAGGAATGAGAAATATTGGTGATAATGTGCCACAAAAAGTTTTTATAGAGGGTGAAGTGTTAAGGCACCATAGTTGAGGGAGGTAAATGCAATTTACCCAAAAAAATACTCCCATTAATTTAATTAAAAAAATATATGCAAAAGTGCTTAAGTGGTCCCACTAACAACCTACTTTACATGGGTAATATATTTGTCAAAGTAGCCGTTGCACCTCCCCCTTGTTCTCTATTTAAAGAAATCAATATCCCCCAAGGAATCCGTGCTCTTTACAACTACGCTCCTCTTTATTTTCTTTTCTCTCTCACTTTTGGACCAATTTCCATAACAAAATCAAATTGTGAGAGACAAAAAACCAAAAACACACTTCCATAATTGATCTTAACAACATTCCAATATGAATCCCGCAATTTTTGACACCAAAAATATGGCCACTATCCCATTACTCATCTCTTCATCAACACCAAGCTGTAGTAGTAGCACGGCCAGTACCAGCAGCTTTAGATCAAGCGCCAGCAGCGAAGACATCTCCGACGACATCGAAAACCCGCCGAAACCTCCCCCTTTCGAGCTCCTAGACGCCAAGCTCCCGATCCAATCAATACCCTTTTCCCAATCCTTCTCCTACAAACCCCTCGCCGTCCTCTCCGGCCATGTTGGCTCCATTTCCTGCTTGGCCTTGTGCGGCGAGTTCCTCCTCAGCGCGTCGCAAGGCAACGACATTATCGTGTGGCAACAGCCCGATTTGAGGCCTTTTACGAAGTTCGGGCACGGTGAAGGATCGGTGAAAGCGCTGGTGACGATGGGGAGCAGGGTGTTCACGGCACACCAAGATAGTAGGGTAAGGGTTTGGAAGGTGTCGCGGAGATCGGAGAACGTTTTCAGGCTTGTCGACACGCTCCCGACGAAAAAGGACTATTTGGGAAAGTTTATGAACAAGAGCAATTACGTCCAAACCCGGAGACACCACAAGAAGTTGTGGATTGAACACGCGGATTCCATATCTTGTTTGGCCATCTCAAATGGGTTGGTTTACTCCGGATCATGGGACAAGACCTTAAAAGTGTGGAGAATTTCCGATTTCAAGTGCTTGGAGTCGATAAAGGCGCACGACGACGCGGTAAACGCGGTGGCGGCGAGTAAAGGAGTTGTGTATTCAGCTTCGGCGGATGGTAAGATCAAGGCTTGGGGGAGGGAAAACCAAGCCAAGATTGGTTCACATGTACTAAAAGGGATTTTGGAGGGACATAAAGATGTTTCGGTTAATTCGGTTGTTGTTTCGGAGGATTCGAGGTGGGTGTATGGCGGCGGGTCGGACGGTTTTGTGATGGGGTGGGAAGGGGTTAGAGATTGCTCTAGTTGGAAGTTGGTTTGTGAGACAAAAGCTCATCAAATGGCTGTTTTGAGCATGTGTTTAGTTGGGGAGTTTTTGTGTAGTGGTTCGGCGGATAAGAGTATAGGGATATGGAAAAGACAAGCTTTTGGTAAGCTTTGTAAGGTTGGGGCTATTTGTGGGCATGAAGGGCCAGTCAAGTGTTTACAAGGTTCTCCAAATAATGTTGGTGGTGGATTTTTGCTCTATAGTGGAAGCTTGGACAAGAGCTTGAGAGTTTGGTGGGTTTCAAAGCACTCCTCCAATGGAGAAGATGAAGAAGATCATGTCACTACAAGAACAAGTTGTCAATATGGGAAATCTATCGTGTTGAACTAAGAAATTTTTCAGGGTCAATTTTTGTTTTTGTTTTTTTTAGGGATGTTCATAGTCGTGTGAGGATTAAAGAGTAAATGGGGTGGTATACATTATACAAGCATAGAGAAGGGCAGATTTCAAGCCGTTAATTATGTCTTAAATGGTTTTTTTTTTTTTTTTTTTTTTTTTTTTTTTTTTTTTTTTTTCTGTTTGTTCATCTTGGGATATTATTCAACTTGGTTTTCAGAGAGTTGAGTGTAAATTATATTAGGTGAAGTGGTGTGGGTTTTAGTTCTTTTTTGTTTTCTCTTGATTTTGGGTGCCTATAATTTCTTATTAATTGTAATCAAGTTTTTTAAGTGGTATAATCGTGAAATGAATAAAATTGTTTGGTAGTTTATTGATCATCTTGTGATGTTCTCGTTTGCTAAAGTACAACACTTTCTTTTTGGTATGCTTCCCAAAGGACAAATCAGAACATCACTGTTCCCTCCCACTAAAACTAAAATATTAACAACATAAACTATTGATGGGTAGATATGAGGCAAGGAATCTTTTCTTCAAGAATGTGGAGAAATTTTGTCCATTTTCGTAGTGTTCCATATATTAATTTCTTTCTTTTTGTCTTCGATTGTATTTTGAGCTAGTGGAGCAGGGCACGTGTCTTATACTCAATAGTTTTAGACTCGGTCCACTTTTAAAAAACTTATGTGATGTTTAAACTCATGTAATTTTACTCTTCAAAATTGTCCAAACGAAAATTAAAGTATAACAATTAACGTTGATTTATCTCTTAATAAGTTAAACTTTTGACTGAAGTAGTAAACTAACCAAAAACATAAAGGGTCATTTAGGCAACACATTGGCCATTGCCTTAGCCTTCAGCCCTTCAATAAAGTATTCTCTTAGTTTGTCACATTGAATGCTCTATAAAGGGCTAACCTGGCCAACCAACTTTCTTGTCTTTGAGAGAGATGATGTGATATAAGAACACGTTTAGTTCGTTGATTCGAGTTGAGATGTGATTTTATGTTAGAATTTTTTACTGTAGCAAAAAAGTTAGATGTGACTGTTTCTGAGAGCATTTTACTATAGCAAAACTCGAATTTTATACTCGAATCAGTAAAATGAACGGAACCTAAGTTTATAAGCGTAGCTTTATTTTGGTACGAAAGAAAGAGAAGATTTAAAATAAAGATAGAAGTGAAGATTCTTGAGAGGAAAGACAAGAAATTCTCTCCAACTTTCGGACGGTTTTCCTCAATCTAGTAGTAGCCTTTAGTTCTTGTTTTTGCTTCTACCCTTTAATTGTTGTTAGAACTAAACATAAACCCTTAATATGTGGTCCTTTCGTTTAGTAGTTGATTAGCACATAAGACTAAAGAAAAAAAAAAAAAAAAATCTTGTGATTGGACCACATAAGGTCCTCAAAGAGGTTGCAGAAGAAGAGCACCTTAATACAACTTAAAGCAACTGTTCCACTTGCTAAAACCGCAACCAGTGTCGCAACTCTACCAAATGTTCTTGGTTCAACAACCAGCCTGGTCTTTAAAAAAAAAAAAAAAAAACCCTATTGCTTTATAACTTTGGTCGTGTTTGAAGTTGGTTTGTTTTTGTTTTTCACGTTTTTTGAGAAAAAAAATGAAAACAGGAGAGAAACGGCGTTTGGCACAATTAAAGACAAAAAACGGAAATGAAAACGATTTTATGGTTTAGTGTAAAATGAGAGAGAAATGAAAAACGACTTTTAGTCGTTTTTTATTTTTTGTTTCCATTTTCTCCTCTCTCGAGCACAGAGAGAGATAGACATTAATGGATTTTTTTATACTAAAAATAATCTCTTGATAAAACTACCAAACACATTTTTAAAAATAATTTCTGTCTAAAATTAAAAACATTTTCATTTTTATTTTCATATAAAAAATAAAATCATTTTGAAATGAGTTCCAAACGCACCATTTATTTCTACATTGGTACCACACTCCCCTCTAATATTGGAACCATAATATGTCTACAAAAGAGAGAAGCTTTGCAAGAATTCAAGAATTCTTTGATTCGTGGGAAAGGAAACGGTCATCAAGAGCCACAAAGAATACTGCTTCTTAGCTATCTAACAACAATCCAAAAACAAATCGGGAGGTTAAATCTGAGATTTTTCTCTTTTTTCTTTTTAAATGTCTTTTAGAAAATATTTTAAAAACTCTTAATTTATCAATTGACAAAAAAACGATCTATTAGTGCTCTCTCATACCGACAGAGATCAATTCTAAATGCCTCTTATCAATCTATCAAATATGGTTTTGAATGAGGTGACTTTGAACTTTTTAAATGCTAGTTGATGAAAGATGGGCCAAGTTCCTTTTGGTACAGCAAGAAAAAAGTGACTTTGAGGTACAAAAGAATTCTTTCTATTTTTATGTTTTTAAACGTCAACATACTATTACTTGCATAAATTGTTAATACAGTAACATATCCTCCCTCATCGAATAAAATTAGATGAGTTAAATGCTTTTTTAAGTCTCTATAATAAAGTTTGTTATCAGACATGTTTGTTTATGTAATTACTACAATAGTGTGATTCTTAGTGATATATTCCTTCAACTAAAAAAAATAACTATCTTCTTTATTATTGTTATTATTATTGGCAACCGTGCGTTTGTGTTTTCTTTTCTTTTCTATTTTTTCTTTAAAAGGAGGAATTTTGTTCTAAATAGTTATAAGAATCTTTCCTTTCTAAGGAGTACTTTCCACAGCAGTATATATACATAAATAATTAATTGATTTTGAAGGGAATTTAATCTGGTCTGAGACAGTCGCCGAAAAGGATTGCCAATATAATTGTAAGCGGGTGAGGTGTTATAACGGTTAAGAATTTTCAGGAGCGTTTAAAATTCATTTTAAAATGATTTTATTTTTTGTATAAAAATGAAAATAAAAACGTTTTTAATTTTAAACAGAAATCAAAAATGCATTTAATAGTTTTATCAAGAAATTATTTTCAGTGTAAAAAAACTCATTAATGTCTCTCTTTCTCTCTCTCTGCTGGAGAGAGGAGAAAATGAAAACAAAAAATAAAAAAATGACTAAAAATTATTTTTTATTTCTCTCTCATTTTACACTAAACCAAAAAATTATTTTCATTTTTATTTTTTATCTTTATTGCGTCAAACGTCATTTTAAAAACGTTTTCATTTTTCCTTTCTTAAAAAACGTGAAAAATAAAAACATAATAAATTCCAAACATGGCCTTCTTTTTCTTTTTCCTCTTTCATGACGGCCTCTCAATTCATTTTCTACATCTTCGCCTTTCAAGCTTTATTTGTATACTTACAAAATCACAAGACATAAAACTTGAATAAATAATCACATTCAAATTTCCATAACTTGTCTAGCTCCTTTGCTACACACTGGCTATATGCCAAAATTTTGGCCCTGACATGACATTTAATTAGTGTAAGCAGATCAGCCCCATCATTAATGAGACAAATCCCCTCTTAGAGGGAAGTTAATGACAAAAACTTCTCATTAGCCATCTATAATTGTTTGTAGACAAGGACATATGCTTGATCATGCAAGACCTTATTCGTGCCAATTGGTGTTACAGACGCATCATCAAACCGCAACCACTGACCATTCGCATAGCACGCATCTGCAGTATAGTGCCCCTTTGATGGCTCTCTCCCATGGTGAGTTATTGTAGCAACAAGTTCATATTTTCGGCCCTGGAAGAAAGCAAACACAACAAACAAATAAGCCGAGAACGCAACTCGATTACATGGTGAAAAACTGGTAACTGAAATGTGAGTACCAAGGAATACAAGTTAAGGTAAGGAAATGGAAGCAGTCTTTTAAAGGGTGTTAATAAAACCAAAATAGCGAGTAATGTAACTCCACAATGTATGGTACTGACAGACCATACGCACAAGGGTCGGGAGAAGCATTTACCTCAGTAGATGAAGAAACGAGCAATTCACGGCTTAAGACCAACTCAAGCGGGAAATGCACAGGCTTGAGCAACTTAGTGCTTCCTTGGCTTCCATAACCAAAGCGCATCAAGTGCAGTATCATTATCTTCGAAAGTGATTGGATTTTAGTTGATTTACTTGCAGTCACGACACCTCCCTAAAAAGCATGATGATAAAAGACAAATGAGAGATCATGGAAACCAGAAAAAAAGTTATTTCCATTTACAAAAATTAACAAACAATGGCACAATTGCCCGTCATTATAGCATGTCCAGCATGGAAAGAATGCAGATAATCTTCCCCGTCTTCATGGCAGTACAATACCTTCGCAGTCGTTGATGTTCGATAGCCCTCGAGAGTTTCTGGTGCAGAAAACAGCTTAAGTGCATCCTCAATAGTATGTACAGCTTCAGGGTGAATATCAAGATGGAGCAATAGAAATGGTTGAACAGTAGCAGAAGCTCTGTTTCCTGCATAACGCAAAAATCTTGATTAGAACCACAAATGCATAGCACACTGCATGATTAGTGGTGTAATAGGCAAGAGAAATAGGCCACTAGCACAAGATGGAGTTCAATCTTATTCGTAGATGATGCATAACTACTTGATTTGCCAAACCCTAAATGCAAAACTGAACATGCTAGAAAAGCCGAAAAACACAAAATGCTAATATACCTTTTGCCTTCACCACACTTCTCAATTGTCCTCCAAATATTTCACTTAGTTTCGAAGGAACAAAACTTTGTGTTCTTGTCACTGCAGATTTGTTCTTTGGGCCAACTGTCTCCCATTCATCTTCTTCTGAAGACGATACTACAGATGATTTACTCCCAACAGCAGTCCAGCGTTGTCCTTCAAGCTTGAGTAGTTCATCATGCATTCTATCCATGACAGAGCTGAGAAACTCCTGTGCATCTTCCTGTCTGGAAACACTATAACACATCAGATGAAATTTCTAGTTGAATACCTCATATTTATTAGACAACAATCGGACATGATCGAAACAAAACAAATATCCATGCACGCAGGCTCTTTTACCTGGGAAAAAAAAGGCTTCCACAGATCAAAAAATGTCTGCTAACTCAACAAAACACGCTCTTTTTTTGTGTGTATTTGTACCAATGGTAAATTGACAACTCAAATCAAGGATCAGTTTCTACAAACCTTATTTTTACAATATAAAGACACAAACACACACGCAAAAATTTTCCAATATACTAGTATGTATTTATGCATGCACAGTGTATTTGTCGAATACGTCCTTCCTTCTGTCATCTTTCTATTTCCAGCCAAATATAAAATATATATATATATATATGTATGTATGTATGTATGTATATAACCAATATTGAAGGAAGATAAAAGAAGAAAAATTGTCTAAATAGATCATTCACATACCTTGGCCTTCCTGATATGCCACAAGAAATATCTGGAGTGAAGTTCTTCAAAACTCCTTCAAACATGACAGGCTTAAAGGGCTTGCCAATATCAAGAACATTGGTATCTTTCTTCTTCAAGTTTGAACCAATTGGCATGTCAAATTCAGAGACAAAGTCCACAAACGCAGTCAAGGTGGGATAGCCATCCTGATAAGAAGTCCAAATCAATAATAATAAGTTAAGATCTTAAAGAGTCCTGGGGAGGGGGGAAAAGCCAAGCAAACTAACTGTATTGTGAATTGAAAGTATTGAAATGTCATTTATGATTCATCATTGAGAACATCAATTCCAACAAGGACAAAACACAGAGAAAAATATGCCACCAGTCACCAGATTGCATTGCTCACCTTAGGAAGGTTTTGATTTCTTAGCTCCAGCAGAAGATGAACAAAAGGTGAACAGGATAGGAGAGCCTGCACGGTTGCATTGACAAAACACAAATTCCCCGAGTTTATTAACCCGTGCGGAAGTAAGTGGATAGCAGGAATAACCGGTCCAATAGAGGCCTTCTTGGGTTCTTCCTTAGACAAAGGTACTGATGAATCTTCAGCACTCCCATTCAGCAATTTCAGACTTGAAAATTCATTCTTCGAGACATCTTCTTCATCATCTAACTCGGGCGTAAAAGTTGCACCGACGTTATCTTTTGGGAACTCTTTCACGCCATTACTTCCCTGGAAACCATGGGTGGCAACATGAGCATGTCCATTCTCTTTCGGTAGATTATGAACATCCTGTGCTGTTTTCGCACTCTTCACTACATTGTCCTTCTTAAGTGAATCCAAAGGCTTGGCATGTTGGGGCTTTCCCTTCTGATCTGTGCTAGATGTGTCAGTAGATTTAGGGCCACCAAAAGATTGCTCAGAGTCAAAATTCAATGATCCAAATTGCAGAACCTTCTTCTCGACAGCCTTTTCACCATTCTTGGATGACTGAGCCCTAAGCAAGGACTTAGTCTCGTCCTCGGTGAACGAGCCAAAAAGAAATACCTGCAAGAGACGAAATATTAACTCGCAAAGGACTAACAAAAGGGATAGTTCCAATATTCCTAATTGTTCCAAAAACATCGATGAAATTGCATTGTTGCAAAATTTCTTATCAAGTAAAAAAAGACTTCACCATAAAACATAGGATGGTTTCAATTCTCTAATCTTCAATTAGAAGCAAGAAAATCAATGAATTTGTAAAGTTGTAACATTTTGTTATCAAGTAAAATATAGCTTCAATTCCTAATCTTCTAATTGCTCCAAAACACCAATCAATGAATTTGTAAAGTTGTAACATTTTGTTATCAAGTAAAATATAGCTTCAATTCCTAATCTTCTAATTGCTCCAAAACACCAATGACTTAGTAAAGTTGCAAAATTTTCTTTAAAAAAACAAAACAAAAACAAAACAAAAATAACTATATTATAAACGAGACCCGTAAAATAACTATCCACAAATTAACCAAAAAACGAAATACCCATCAACCAAAAACACCTCTTGGAATCAAAACCAGACAAAGAACACATCAAAAATCAAAATAATAGACAAAGTAAGGAAAACCCACCTGAGGATTACTCATCTGGAACACAAAAAAACAAGCTTGACGAAGCCTGTGGAATCGGAATGGGATTGAAAAGATATTATGTTTTCCTGGTACCCTAACGAAGTTGAGAGGAAAAGGAAGGCGTCGAAAGAAGACATGAAACGAGGTGGAGCAGAGAGAGAGTTGGGAAGAGAGAGCATTTAACAGAGGAAAGCTTCTATGTTTTCACAACTCTTCTTCTTCTTCTTCTTCTTCTTCTTCTTTCGAAGCAAAACATCGACCACTGAGAATGTGATTGTATATATATAGATTTATATCATCATTATAGAATGGAAATAGTGAAGAAGAGTTTGAGAAGGATTGGAAGAATATCTCTGGTTTTATTAGGGTTAGGTTTTTTGTTTTTTCTCCTCCGGATTATAATGATTTATTATTTATTTCTGATATTGTTGCTTTGATGCCGCCATTCTCTCGTCTCCCATTGCTTATAAAAATAGTGTTCCTTTTCTTAAATAAAAAATCCTAATTTTTTAAATTTTAAAAAAATTCCTCCTTAATTCTTACTTAAATTGGTAATTTTCTTCTTTTCAAAAAAAAAAAAAAAAAGATAAGTTTCTTTTTGTATGTAATTTTTAATTTTAAATTGTAGTTATTATGACTTGAACTGTTGTTGAGTACTTGTTAACAACTACTAATTGCACATCACATAGGCTTCAATTAATTGCACATGATATAAATAAGAAAGCAAGTCTAACAAATAACAATCGTGCCATTCTAAAACAAAGCTCGTCATGTTTTTCCTCTTTCTCTTTCTTAGGGTTTCATGGCTTTGGTGTTTGTCGAGTGGAGATGGTGGAGAGGCGGCGTCTCTTTTTATGGTCTAGAGGTGTGTCGATGCTCAAAGTTCTTTTTTCTTAAGGACTTTAGTTTCTGTGGGGTGGTAGATCTGTGAAGGCAACATCCTCTCTAACAAGCAGAGGTCGACGGCAATTTGTGGTTCTCTTGCAGCTGCTTTCTTTCTGAATCTCTTTACTTCGCCAGAAGTATCGCAACTTCTTCGCTCATTCTTAGCGGTGGTCAACTTGTCACCAGAGATTTTGTCGTTGTCATTTGGGTTTTACCCATTAGTTTTGTGTTTGTCAAATAAAAATGGTGATATTTTCAATTTTTTTAGGTTCAATGTGTTTTCATTGTTTTATTAGCTTTCCGTTGTAATATGGAGGTGGTTTTCCTACCATTTCGGTCTTTATTTGTTCTCTAATATGGAGTCTATGTAGTGACTTTTGTGCTACATTGTTGTGGCTCTCAATCGATCAAAAATTTCTATCAATTGTAAAGTTTTGGTAAAAAATAACCTTATATGAGCTCGATCTTAGTTTGCCAAGTTACTTTCCATTTTCATACCTCTAACATACAATTTATCCATTAAGCATAAGTAGGTTGTACTAGCGGAACCGATTTTAGTTGAATGTTATGCCTTGTACTACAAAATCATTCACGTTGTACTATTTCATTTAATATAAATGAAATTTCTCTTAAAAAAAATTGTGCCATTACAGTTTTAAATTTCTCATATTATCGTATTTTTATTTTTATTTTTTGTGCATTTGAGAGTCAATTGTGAGTTATCTCCAACATTTGCTTCAAAATGTCAAATGTAAATATAAAAGTTTATGATAAAGAATGCGCCAAGTCATTAGGATCAACAATTTTGGTACAGCTAAATGCTAGGTTGAGATTTCTATTTGTAATGTCAAGGTTGAAAGTTGGGTGGATCAAAGGTGGGATGGAAAAGTTTAGAAATGGTTTTAAAATGATTTTATCAATTCTAAAATTGTATTTGGTTGATTTTTTAAGAGATTGTTTTGAGTATAATAAAAAAGTAAAATTGTATTTATTAATTAATATATTATAATATTATTAATAAGTACTAACAAATAAAAATAAAAAGGTGAATATTTTTTAATTACTTCATAAAAATTATTCTCACTGTTTTTGTTTTTTATTTTTATTTTAAAAATATTTACTAAATAAACGTCATTTTATTTTATTTT